GCTCCATTAATGCATTATAGAAAAATCATCCATGAATAATGATCTATCCATGAATAATGCCTAGCGAGGAAAGAGTAAGAATTGAGTCCAAGCCCCTCATTCGTTTCTTTTCTTTCAGCATCAATGCAGAGGGAAGAAGAGGAACAAAGAGGGAGCATTTGCCTGTCATTCCAGAGCTCTCAAGAGTTAAGCTTATCACAGGGGAAGAGAGGAAAAAATAAAACGAGATCAGAGAGGGAGACAAACCATAAGAGACTCTTAATCATAGGAAACAAACTGAGGGTTGCTGGAGGGGAGGGAGGTGGGCGGATGGGGTAACTGGGTGATGGACATTAAGGAGGACACGTGATGTAATGAGCACTGGGTATTATATAAGACTGATAAATCACTGACCTCTACCTCTGAAACCACTAATATATGTTGATTGAATTTAAATAAAAATAAATAATTAAAAAAAGAGTTAAGCTTAGTCTCTCCTTTCCATGAGACCCAGGTCTACAGTCTCTGAGGATGTCAGCTGCTAGAGCCCACCCCTCTCTGAAAACAAAGCTCTCAGCAAGGAGACTCAGGAAGGAGTCAGAACCTAGAATGTTTTTGGGTTCTCTGCTACGCCCGTCCACGGGAATGAAAAATGATGGAGCTGGCCTGTGGGTGTTGCCCACTAGGTGGCGGTGCAGTGGTAGACTATCTGGAGACCCGCCTTTTGGGTCCTGATTTGGGACAAATTGTTTAACTTTCCTAAGGCTCATATTCCTTGTTGAGATTGGCCTGCGTCCCTCACAACGTGGTTATGAGGATCTGATGGGATAAAGTAAAAAGCGCTATTCCATACTTGAGCCTGTCAGTTGTTGTCACTGACTGATCTTGTACACGAATGCTTGGGGATCTCAGAGTCCATAGTGTCCCAAAGGACCATTTTACTCAGCCTCCTAGAAGATCCCTTTGCTGTTCCCTTCACCACATGTGACTGAGTCTCCTGGTGTCCCAGGTTGGAGAGCTTGCCAGAAAGGATCTCATGTGACATGGGACCTGCTAGCTCTTTGGAAAAGCAGGTATTTATAAGTCTCTTCTTGTTTCCTGTACTTCTATTCCTAGCACGGCCTATGTGATTCCAGGGCCCCACTGCAGCCGAACTTGACATGCGAGGGCAAACTTATAGGGAGGGAATGTGAAAGAAATTTCTGCATGAGAAATGAAAGAAGTGTCATGAAGTCAGTGATGTAGGGGAATGTGACTCCTGCCAGGCCTGCTGGGTCCCCCATCCCCACTCTGCTCCCGGCTGTAGCTTGTACCTCTTGTCTTGTGCGGCCACCTGGGCTAACTTCTTAATGAGGGCAGCAAGATCCCTGCTGGGAGAGTCATGACAGAGTGACTGGAGAAGCTGATCTTCTGATGTTTAGGGAGGTTGGGGAAGATGCTGCCCCCTCTGTGTCCTCTTTGTCTTCCACATCTCTGCCTGAGCCCTCCCCTCTCTCAGAGGCCTGTCTCTGGGGGATTCTGCAAGCAGGTGCATTGAGGTGGTAGCCTCTCCCTCAGTCCTGATATCTAAGAGCTCTTGAATACACAAGTCAGAAAAGGAGTGAATTTCCAGATTATGGAGGAGAAAGAATAGGAGGAGGGGTACTTCCCAAACAATTGAAGCACATCAGTGAAATCTTCTGGAACTACTTTAGTCTCTTGCTGACACATGGGACACTGAAGGCTCCCAACCCTTGTGGAGTAACATAAATAAATGCACAGTCCTCAGTTCCCAAACCCCAAACACTGGAGGAGAGGCAGGAGGCTCTTTGCAGCAGAAATGGAACCAGCTCTCCCAGGGTCTCCCTTCTCTGTACAGTCCTTGGGGGCTACTGTCCTGGTCTCTGGACAGGGTTGATCCCCACTAGTGTCTTCCTTTGTCTTATTTAGTGGATTCCCTAATGGGTCCAGTTCATATCCAGGCTAAAGAATCCCCACTGGCCTCAGCCCTTACCCCAGGCGCCCCCTTCAGTTTCTCTCCCACTATCTCAGCCCCAGTTAGGGCCCGTGGAGTGTCCTTTCCTAGACCCCAGGATGAAGTACAGACTCTCACCCAAGGGAAATTCAATCCCTGGATTGGCACTTATTGTAGAAGCAGCTGGAACATTTGTGATGTTTGCCTTCTTTTGTTCCAAAGATCTCAGGAAATCTTTAATTCTCGGGCTCCCAACAGTCCTCAGTATAACAGTACAGGAGACTCTCTGTCTCAAGTATCAGGCTCCATCCTTGATGGAGAATTTCCTAGCAAGGAGATCTGGGGGCAGCTGGAGCACCACCTTCAAAGCTTCATCCAGCACTGAGCCCATCTGGCACAGATACAGCCTCACAGCAAACCAGCAGGGACTTCTTGGCCAAAGGGCAAACGTGGATCTTCACAATCCTCTGTCACAAGTGCCAAAGCAGCAGGGAAGGATCTAGACCAGATGACATAGAGGCATCCAGGAAGTTTCCACGTGAGGGGCCTGGCAAAGTGCCAGCTAGGGAATGACCTACAGAGAGTATGGAGCATAGCCCAAGGAAGTGCCCCACCCCCAATAATCTAGTATTTAGAAAGCTACCCCATGAGGAGCCTAGGGTCTAAGGAGAGAGAAAGTGACTTGGTATGCCACTCAGGGAATGACTCATCAAAGGGTTCAAGGGAGAACCTAGACCAGATACAACTGGAAAACACCCTAAAGATTCACTTGGACAAAAGGTTGGGTACATAACTCCAGCAGGAGCCCTTGTAGGTGTGTGTAGTTCATGGCTTGTTGCCAACTGCCCCCTCCTCGAAGTACTATAGTTAATAGGAAACTGGAAATTTGGCACCTTCATGAATCAGGAACACTGTCTGAATACCTCTTGGAAGATTTCCTTCCTTGATCCAGGCATTAGATAAGTACTAGAAGTCCAGGTTATATGGTTTGGGGTACAGCCGAGGTAGAACTTACCTCTCAAGGTCCTTGAATCCATAAAATTGTTACATTGATAGAGACCCAATCATGATTTCTTCCCAGTCCGCTTTTCTCTCCCAGCCACCCATGTTTCAGGGATGGCTAAGCCAAGGTTGCTTATTAGCTCTTTGAAAGAAACCATTCATTGCACAGGTCTGGAGACAAGCTGATCACAAAAAATGCAATTCTTACCCTGGATAGTCCTTTCCCTGGCCTTCCAGTGTGAGCAAGGAAACCAGAGGGCCCTGAGATGTTGGTCATGGTTCACACAGGACCCTCAGTCCAAGGAGAAGAGAAGACAAACTTTTGCCCATCATCATGGACAAATCGTGGCACAATGTGACTATATGAAGGACAAGAGAGGCAGTCCAGAGTCACTCCCAGTCAAATGATGGCAGGACATGACCCAAGGGATAAGAGTGGTGTTGTGTACCCACAGACTCCAGCCATGGAGAAGCAGTGCCCCAGAGGCAGAGAACAGAAAGAATGTCTGGAGGGGAGCCCCACAGAGGGGAGCATCTCCTTGGAGTTTCCACTTCAGGAAAAGGATATTGGGAGATTAATTTAGGGATTCCCTCAAGGGTCATATAATCCAGGGAGACAATGGAAGTCCAAGAAGACTCCAGCTGCTATATCATAACTGGAAGATGTTCTGAGAGTCAGTGAGCTGAGAGATGCTCAGAAATTGAATGTCTGAGTGGCCAAGGGGCTCCAGTGGCCAAGTATTGCCCCCACCCCAAGTGTTGGTTGCCCAAGATCTGGAACAGCCAAGCCTTAAAGAGCAGCTTGCTGATGAACTGAGGTTCATATTGGAGATAGAGATGCAGAGCCAGCATCAGGGTTGTCCCACTGAAGTGCCCCCTGCCTTAGATAGCCTGCCTACTTAATTCCCTTGAATCTATAAATCAATTTGAGGAGAGTTCATATGTTAATGATACTATGTCTTCTGATTCACAAACATTGTAGGTATCTCCATTTTTTCAATTTCCCTCAGCAATGTCCTATAATTTTGTGTACAGACATCATACATATTTTGATAAATTTTATCCCTATTTCATAAGTTTATGTAAATGGCATTTTTATTTAAACTTCCAGTTGTTCATTACTAATACATAGAGATAAATTTTATTGTTTTTTGACCTTATATTCCATTTCTTTGTTAAACTCACTTATTAGTTCTAGTGGCTTTTGTCAATTTTGAATTTTCTTCATAGATCTGTTATCTGTAAATAGGAAAATTCTATTTCTTTCTTTTCAATCTGTATGCCTTTTCTTTCTTTTTCTTGCCTTACTGCATTAGCTAGTACCTCCAGTACGATATTGAACAGAAGTAGCATGTGGAGACATCCTTGTCTTGTTCTTGATCTCAGGGTGGAAAGCATTCAGTCTTTCACCATTAAGTATGATGTTGGGTGTAGGTGTTTTGAGAATGCCCTCTATCAGACTGAGGATGTTCCCTTCCATTCCTAGTTTTGAGGGTTCTTTTAAACCAGGAATGGATATTAGATTTGGTCAAGCGCTTTTTCTGCATCTACTGAAATGTTGTTGTTTTTTTTTAAGATTTTATTTGAGAAAGAGAGTGTGCACAAGTGGGGAGAGGGGCAGAGGGAGAGGGAGAAGGAGAAGCAGACTCCCCACTGAGCGGGGTACCCAAAGAGGGGCTGGATCCCAGGACTCTGGGACCATGACCTGAGCCAAGGGCAGATGCTTAACCAACTGAGCCACCCAGGCGCCCCAGTTTTTTTCTTTCTTAGTTTATAAGTATGATGACTTACATTGATTTTTTTTTTTAAAGATTTTATTTATTTATTTGAGACAGAGAGAATGAGAGACAGAGAGCATGAGAGGGAGGAGGGTCAGAGGGAGAAGCAGACTCCCTGCCGAGCAGGGAGCCCGATGCGGGACTCGATCCCGGAACTCCAGGATCATGACCTGAGCCGAAGGCAGTCGCCCAACCAACTGAGCCACCCAGGCGCCCTACACTGATTTTTTTAAAATGTTAAACCAACCACACATTCCTGGGATAAATCTTACTCAGTCATGATGTATTATCCCTTAATATATTGTTGGATTACATTTCCTAAAATTCTGTTTAAAACTTTTGCAACTATACTCACACAAGAGATATTGGTCTGCAGTTTTCTTTCTTGTAATAGTTTTGTTTGGTTTAGGTATCAAGGTAATTTTGGGATCACAGAATGAGTTGAAAAGTATTCCTTTTCATATTTTCAAAGAGTTTGTTCAGAATTTTTTTTTTTCTTCCTAGAAGAACAGTTCTTGATAGAATTCCCCAGTGAAGCCATCTGCATCTGAAGTTTTCTGTGTGAGAAGGTTTTTAAATACAATTTGAATTTGATACAAGGGCTATTCAGGTTATTTATTTAACTAGATTTTGATAATTGGTATCTTTCATATTTTTTTATTCATTTCATCTAAGTTTTAAAATTTATTGGCATAAAGTTGTTCATAATATTCCCTTGAACTATCTGTAGAATCTATAGAGGTGTCACCTCTCATTCCTGATATTTTAATTGGGGTCTTTTTCTAATCAGTCTGGCCAGAAGTTTATCAATTTTATTGATCTGAAAGAACCAGCTTTTGGTTTTAGTGATTTCCTCTATTTTTTGTTTTCTATTTCATTGATTTCTGCTTTGATCTTTATTATTTTCCTCCTGCTGCTTACTTTGGGTTTGATTTGCTCCTTTCTGCTGTCATTTATCAGGATTTTAGCAGGTAGCAGAAACAAATGCGTGGATTCATGCTATGCTTATCCAGAAATCAGAGATGTGATTTGAGAGAAAGAGGTGATGAACTCATGTAGTCTGGTTTTCTGGCTCTTTTTCTTCTTCTTTTTTTAATGGAACTACCATTTGTAGATTCTCCTAGCTAAAAACTTTGAAGTTAGTATTTAAGAATGTTGGTTCTGCAGTTTGACAGACTCTGGATTTATATCCTAAGGGATTTATATCCCTTCCTAGCTATAAAGTAATTAAATGTCCCTGAGCCTCAGTTTGCTCATATGTACAATGGAAATAACATCATCTTTCCTTACAATGAGTTAACCATGTAAAGCTCCATACCTGACCCATAGAGCTTGACAAACATTAGCTATTATTTACTCTTTCATTATTTTTTATCACAAAAATCTATCCTACCCTAAAGACCACTTCATCATTTAAGGACTTTTTTTCATGTTAACCCCCCTGTTAGATAAACCAGATTTCTACTGCTCCCCTCAAGAGTGTGGTAGCTAAATACTAAAAGCTAGCTTGCTTTGTAACAAATCACTCTAAAATTAGTGCTTGAAACAAAATTTTTTCCCCTTACGTTTCTATGTATTGGCTGGGCAGTTTTTCTGGTCTAGGAACATTCAGAGCTAGATGATGTAGGTTACCTTCATCTGTATGCATTGTGACTGGTTCAAGGTCAGCTGAGACTCAGCCATTTATCTCTAATTATCCAGTAGGCTAACCCAGGCTTGTTCATGTGGTAGTAGAAGTATTCCCAAGAGGAGGAGAGGGCAAGCTCTGATGACCAAACTTCTCCCACCTTATGAACCAGTGGACATTTTGTGCTTGACTTCCCTAATTTTATGCCAATTGTTTTCCCCTTATAATCATTTGCAAACACTTTATACTCATGTTTTCTGACTACATATGAAAGGTATCTTTGAATGTGATGTTTTATCTTGGCCAAGATAGGATATTAGGCAAATAATTAAGAAAGAAAAATCTCCAGTTCTGATACAAGGGGATGCCTAGATAACCTGCCTAACCCCTCTGGGACTCGGTCCTGCCCTGGCTCTGCCAGTTCTCTCTGACCTCAACTCCTCCCTCAACCTAGGCAAGAGCCTGAGCCTCCGAATCATTTGACAGCCCCACTCCACCCACTACATAGGCTCTGCTCTGCCACCTGCCAACACGCCAACCTACCCTTCCTCCAAGTCTGCCCCACCTCCACCTCAGCACAGCCCCCTTACCCCATGGGCACAGCTGATTCCCCAGCTCCAAGCTTCTCCTTTCTTGCTGAGCTTCCATTCCTCTGGTGGGTAAGGGCCAGCTCTGGAGATACAGGAACAGCAATCCCCACCAGTCACATAGCCTGTGAGCTTACTATATAATGCAAGTAGCCAGAGGATTCAGTGGGTGGAGCTGATGAGTGAACGGATCCTACAAGCAGAGACCCATCCCTTAGTCCAGATTGGATGAACTGCGCAGGCTGGGTGAATACAGGGCTAAGGTGCTCTCCTATGGCTCAGCCCTGTGCCAGCAACACCATCTGAATAGGTGCCTGTTTTCTGCCTGGAGGGACTATGTCTTATCCAAAACCCTCTCTCTGGAAGACAAGAAAACACCAGTACACCCTCAGGGACAAGCCGTCAAGGCTCAGCCAGTTTACCTGCCTCAAACTGGCTCAGCTCTACAGCTGATGTGTGAGCTGGGTGCTTTCTGGTTTTGTGATCCCCATGTGATGCTCCAGAAAAAAGTAAAAATGTCTCTAACTCTATTTATCAGATTTGTGGGGGGGAGAAGGAGAGGACATATAGTTATATATTTAGATACATAAATCTAACTTATTTAAGTTAGGACCTTTTACTCTCCTTATGCTCCACATATAAAAATAATGTGTTCATGATTAGAAAAAATTCACAACATAATGAAGAAAATAAAGTTCCCTTCCTCAATGAGCCCCCAGAGACCAACCCCCAGAGGCAACCATCGTTAACCATATTTTTATTTATCCTTCCAGAAATTTTCTACATGTGTGTAAACATCGATTTGTATAACCTCATTTTACACAAATGAATAGGATATTTTAAAACATACTTAGTATTTATGTCATTTATAAGTTTTTCCACATGGCTCTATGACTAGATCCCTTCAAAAACACAGATAGTCCCTGATTTAGAAGCATGTGATAACCCAAAAACTTAATTTATAAAAAACCTTTCTGAAACTCAAAACACCTTTTCAGGTTGCTCAGGTCATGATCTCAGGGTCCTGGGATCGACCCCTGCATCAGGCTCCCTGCTCCGCAGGAAGCCTGCTTCTCCCTCTCCCACTCCCCCTGCTTGTGTTCTCTCTCTCGCTGTCTCTCTCTCTGTCAAAAAAATAAATAAAATCTTAAAAAATAAATAAATAAATAAATAAATAAATAAAAACTGTTAACATTGAATAAAAAAGCTTTCTATATCTTGAATTTCATGAATTAGTGAAGAATCTGAATAGAATTCTCAAGTGATTTACACGGCAGCAGAGGTGGGATAACATCGTGTTACATCCAATCCCACCTTTTTTGTCAGCACAACATAAACACACCTTGACTCAAATTTGATTGGTTAGTGTGGTGGGAGTTCACTGGGCAAGCGGCTCCCTCCATCAAAAAATAGAGTAGATCACTGAATTTTTACCTCCTGTGGATACTGAAAAGGCTTTTCTTATGCCTGTTCACAGTCACATGCACTGACCTAAACCTTGAACCCTCTGTGAGCTGCACCTGCTGTAACCTACAAAGGTGGAGAAGGGGCAGGAAGTAGACTAGAAAGAATGCTGGAGAGTCACTTGATGACTACCTCTATTAGGAGCCTTATTTTAACAGTAGCAGAAAATCCCTGTCATATTGAGCTTTAACTTTTATGACTTGCCTGTTCTCTGTCATAGAGAATAATTTCATGGCATGACTACACTTTTATCTTCTTATAAAAAAGAAATGCAGAGATTTTCCTGAAGCGTCTGGGCTGAATCAGGAAAGAAGGTCAAAAAGTGTGAGAAAGGGGTTGACCTGCTGATTGTACACACAGGCAAGGAAGGCAGTTCGTGATATATGTGCAATCCTAGAAGGGAAGGCCGGGTGGAAGGAAGATGTTGCCCTGAGCATGTGGCTTCATGTTGACTGGGTCCTTAAGGTGCGGGCACTCTGTGATATCTCCCCTAGCAAAGCATCCTATAACTTGCTAAAAGGAGTCCTTTAAAAAAAATTCTGTAATAAACAAAGAAAACAGAGGCTATCCATACCTTGTATTTGAAGGACCCCTTGGTTCCCCTGAGTCTGCTTGTCTAGGCAGGTGAGCCAGAGCACAGTGGCAAAGAAAGGGTATCAATGATGACGGGCACAATTAAAATATTATCTACATTTGTAGACCACTGAAGAGTTCAGAAAATACTTTCCCAAGTATTATCCTTGTAACAACTCTGTGAGGGCAGGGATTTGGAGATGGGTGCAGTGACTTGCCCAAGATCACACAGCTAGCACAAGGCAGAGCAGAAAACGGCACTTGAAGTTTCTGAGGCTAAATTCAGTATTCTCCACATTTCCCATGCTGCTTCCCAGGAGGTTCCACAGAGATCTGGTAGGAAAAGGCATTTCTACTTGTATTCCTCCCCGTTCTTTATTTAGTGCTTGGATTCCCATGAACGTCACTCTAAGTGTCCTGCACTGATTAAGCACATGAAGCTGCTGACCCTCAAATAAACCAGCATGGTTTGCTGTGTATCTGCATCTGCATGGGGGAGACAGCAGAGCCACGCTGGGAAGGGAGCCAACTCTGGGGCCAAACTGGGTGGGTTGAAATCCTCAATTCATGGCTGACCAGCTGTGTGAGCTTCAGTATGTTACTTAACCTCTGATCAGTGTATGAGAAGCATGTAGCCCGGTGCCAAGGACATGATAGAAGTTCACTAACTGATACATATTTCACTCTTATTGAGTCTTCACCTACCTTCTTTGGGACTATTATCATAAAACGAAAACTACCAACAAGAGGTTGATTGGTATCTTCAATTCCACTCTCTTCTTTCAAAAAAAAAAAGTCACAAATACATAAACAGAGTGAACACCTTGTATGTACATGCTCATGGGTCTGGCTAATGAGTCTATCTGATTGTGCACAGCCTCCACATGCTGAAATAATCCATCCTAGCCCTTAAGCCAAGCTACAATTTAAAAATTTAATAAATGGCACTCATCCTCTAATCTTTTCCTATATGTGATTGACAAGCATCAGTGGAAGCATCTTGTGGAAGTTACTGTTTTGGAAAGCTGGGGTAAGTGGGCTGAAAGCCAAAATTACCTGAACAGCTTGAATTCCTGGAATTTATTTCCAAGCTAGTGAAAATAATCAGTTATCAAGGGCTCCCCCTACTGGCACCAAAAAACAAAGGCTAAAATTTAAAGTAGATAACATTTATGCATAGTAGAGTATTGTGTCCCTTTCTTCTTCTTCTGTTAAAGCTCCCACAACAAAAAGGAATATAAGACTTACTTCAAACTATTTGTCTTTCTGGGGGATGGAAGTTCATGACTTAGAGATCCAAATTTCCTCACAACGGGACACTGAAAATACATGCGTATAGACAAAAGCTCACACAGGGGATTCAAAGATTGGGGAAGAGGCTTAACATCATGTTAAATGGGAAAGAGCTGAAGGAAATGAGGGTGGCTCAGCAGAGACAGGACCGAGAGGTAGGGAGCTGGAATGGTATCTGACAGGCTAGCATGGGAGCATGATCAGCCTTATGCCATGTGGCCCCACTAGAGGGTGGAGTTATCAGAGAACAGATTTTATCTCACAGAAATGAAGAACATTTTAATAATGAGCACTATCATACATAAGGAACTACAAAGGGCAGGGGTGAAGGATCATCACTGACTGTGAGTGGGCAGAGAGAACTAAACTGGATTATATTTAGGATTTTAGTTCTAAAATCCTGAGAAAGTATGTTAAAACTCCAAACAATTGAATAGTCCTGTTGCTAGAAGGCTGGATGGTATCATCCTCAGACTATTTTTTCAATATTAAATATCAACATTTTGTGCTTCAAGCCCTGATTTAGTCTCAAAATAATTTTAAGAAAAAAGACATCAAAATCAAAATAAAGGGTAGATCATACCAATGTCAACTTCCTAGTTTTAACGTTATACTACAATTTATATAAGTTACCATAGGAAGAAGCTATGTGAAGGGTATACACGGCCTCTACACTATTTTTTGCACCTTCCTGTGAATCTATAATTATCTCAAAATAGAGATCTTTTAAAAATCAAATTAAAGATACTTCCCCCGAAAGGTTCTAAGTAACCTCCAAGACAATCCAGTTTGGTTCAAGAGTGCAGTGTCATCAGCCACAAATGACTCTGTGCAAGTATCTACAAGCAGCAGGGCTCATTTCAAAACCATGATCAATCAGCTATTAAGATTTACAATTGTGATTAGGAAAGCCTGTCATGTTGACAGGTGTCTAATTTGGTTATGCTGATCGTAAATCTTCAGTTATCTCAGATCACATCATCAAAATCACCTATAGGCAATACATTCTTACAACTGCTTCCTACATCATACTACACAGGAACCATGTACAGACTTAATTACTATATTTATCTAACTGTAACACAATAATGCACTCATATCTTCCTCCTCCCCTATGACTTACAACAAGAACTGCATCTTGTTTTTATCTCAGTTTATCACCAAAACCTAACCCACAGTAGGTTTTCAGTAAATACTCATAGAATAAATAAGAAATAAATCAGTAATTATTTTCTTGGACTTCTGGGACTTTCTTTGACTTTCTTTTCTGATATAAAGACATCCAAAGAAACATCAGAGTCCTTACTTTGGAATCAGGATTAAATATATGTATACTATATACATACATATGTGTGTATGACAAAGTCTATAAAACACAGGGGTTTAATCTCTAAAGATCTTTATAACCACTTGTTTTTGATCTGTTAGATTCCTAAGACATTGTTAATTCAGTGTGATTTCTTTTTTTTAAGAATTTATTTATTTACTTGACAGAGAGCACAAGCAGGGGGAGTGGCAGGCAGACAGAATAGGAGAAGCAGGCCCCCTGCAGGGAGCCCAACATGACACTTGATCCCAGGACCCTGGGATCATGACCTGAGCCGAAGGCATATGTTTAACCAACTGAGCCACCCAGGTGCCCCAACTCCGTTTGATTTATAATAAAATAGAGAGGTCAAGCTTTTCCAGACAGGAAAACCAATACGAACTGTTGAACAGATCCCCTGAGCTTGTAAGTTCCTGCTAGAATGATCTCTGCCCAGTTTTACCAAGTGCCAAAAACAATCCACTTCTTTCAGAAATCACTGAGATATCATCACCTTTGGATTCTTCAATATTAACCAAATGAAAAGCATACGGAAATTTCTCTAAATTTCTCTAAATCTGTTTATTAAAAATGTTTTTCAAATAAATATTTTGAACAACCATAATCAATCAAAGCAGTGAGATCACAAAGTGTTGCTTCTTTCTGCAAAGAAGGCACATCATTAGCTTGTATAGTTAATCCAACAGCCACATCCAAAGTCAATTAGGCTGTTTTAAACACATGATGGACGCTACTTACGATCCCAGAGACACCAAGGACTCCTCAGGGTCAGTCATCTGAACAGGCTCCGAAGCCGGCTTGATCCTTAGAACCTCTGCAAAGCCATCGCCAAACCAGCAAGTGATGTGCGCTATGTCTACAGTAAAGTAGAAAAGGCGGTCCTGGCAGAGCTTCCGTCGATATACAGACCGAGGGTCAGCTGACAACACAGCCTCAATGGCATGCCTTGCTTCCTCTGCTGATTGAAAATATTTAAATGAAGGCTGACTGCCATCTGCAATGAAAAGAATACAACTTAATGCTGAAAATCATGCAGGTCAAATTTCATTACAGTGAACTTCAATGTGGAGTTTGGTTGGTTCCTTGACGATCACTTGAAATGAACTGGGTTTGGCAATCTACTCAGTTGTTACAGAGCATGTCACTTTCAAGTGGTATTTACTATCATTAGATTAAACCTATGCGTACCCCAAATTGTCATTTGCTGAACAAAATCTTCTATGTTCAATGTTGACTTTAATTTGATTCCTCGTCATTTTCTTCTCAGAATGGAGTAGTAATTAAGTCTGTACAGGGTCAGGGAAATGCATGACAGTCCCAGCACTCTCAGAAAGCCACAAGAAAGACGACTAAACCCACATAGGCCCAAAGCACCAGCTGTAGGCAAGGCACGGTGTCTCAGAGAGCTGGTATCACAGCCCTACTTAAAAGTAACACCACATTCCCTAAGGAACATGGAAATGGGACAGTCCTTCTGAAAGAAGGTACTATGAGAAAGTTAAATACCATGACTAGCGAACATGCCACCCCAAACCACCAAGGTGCATATTTCAGGTAAACAGATATACACCCTGTTAAGTGGCAAAGCTTCCTACATATCATCATGAATGTATTTTAATTTCTAAAAATACAGTATGTACAAAACTTAAATAAAAAATTAACTGTGACTTAATTTTTAATAGCTACAATATAAAATACATCCAAATGAAGGCCAGGTATGTGTTTTAAATAATGTTGTTCTTGTTCAAAATAGCATCTGCAGTGGTGGTGGATCTTTATCCTTCTGAAAGTAAATTCAGTTTTTAGAAAACAGCCAAAAATCACTTGGGTTATATCCAGTAAGTTCGTAAATAAAGCCATGAAGTTCAATCTTTGGTCAAAAACCAAGGACTAATTCAAGTGTTGATCACATGGAATCCTTAAAAAAAACAAAAAACAAAAAACAAAAAATCCCCACCAAGGACCAAGTATGCAGTGCTAAGATTCTTTTATTGCATGGCTCATGAAATGACTCCAGGGCCACTCAAAAAAGAGGAATTCCAAAAACATCACACTCTTCAGTAACAGTGCAATTGGTAAAAGTTCCAGGCCTTGGCGTGGCTGTTCATTTGTAATAGGTGCCCTTCCCTCACTTCTCTGCCTACTTAATTCTTCCAGACTCAGCTCAAATACTTTTTCCTCCAGGAAGCCTTCCCAGATTTCCTCCCTGCTCCCCAAGTCATAATCTTTCTCCCCCTTATGTGCCCACAAGCACTCCATTCCAGCGCCAATCCCCCCACCCCTACACCAACACACCGCCACCATTTCAGTATCTTTTATCTTTTCTAAACTCTAAACCTTCTGAGGTCATTTCTTATTTCTATATTAACTCCAAATTCTGCTGGTCTCAATCAGTCCCTGTTTTATAGTTACATTTCATAATTTCTCTTTTTAACGATTTTTTTGAATCAACAAGGCACATTATAACCTCTCAGACACACAGCACTATAGTTTGAAAAAGATAAATCTTTCCAAAGTAGGAAGCATTCACTGATAACTGCAGGCCAAAGGGTAAGTATAAATATAAAGTATCTTCTAGGCGGCACTGCTTTCTTTGTTCTATCACAAAAACCTTTTAAAACTGACCTTCCTCCTCCCATCAACTGTATACAATGATGAAACAACTTCATAAACAAAACTTTTTAAATAAAGAGGTCAATTTAAAAATCAAATGCTTTGTTTAAACATAAAGCCTTTGGAAAGAATGAGAAACACACTGTGGAGTGGCAGATGAAATAAGATATATCCCTGGCAACTAACTGGCTACTTCTTACTGGACTCAGTGCAGCCACCTTCCTTCATTCTAGATTGCTGCCTCCGATCAGCTATGGGCTGGGAAAACCAGGTTACAGTGTCTGTTAAAAACCATGTGTTAAAGTACACAAGCTCCAAGTAAAAGCCCGGTGGCCTCTCTTCTACAGTGAAGGGCAGGTCTCTAGTGCTAAGACTTGTTATGGGGACAGTTACTGTGCTAAGAGACTCTTCCCTTTTACCTCTAGGCTCTGTGCCATAGGGAGAGCTATCAGCTACCTGATAGTTAAATAAGATGGGATACGTCTCTAGTCAGATAGTAAAACAGATGAAAAAACTTAACCCAAGTATAGAACAAGCACAATTTAGCTTCTGAATGCTGTTTGAAAACTCCAGGAGCTACTGTAACAGATTGACAAGAGGCCCTAAATCATGAGCCACCTCGTGAGGCAGCAACCATTCTCAGCAAACACTTTACTGAGTGTCTGGGACTCACTGTGCTGAACAAGGCGCATCGTCAGATGGTGCTGCTGCCCAAATATAATTTTACATTTCTTACCACCAGTCATACTGACAAACACTCCATATAACTGCCCTCAGAAATACCAAATTTGGCTAAAGCTCTCATTCCGAAACAAGAGACAGAAAGTACCTGGTCCACTTTCTGAACTGAGGCGCTCAAGGTCCATCTCTGCATGAGGGGTGAAGCGGACTTCCAAGGTGGCCACAGGGGCCTCTCTCACCCAGGGTGGGACCACGCTGCGGCGGGCTGCACCGGCCATGCTGGAAGGGCAGGGGGGAGCCACGGGTGGCATCTCTGCACTATTTCCTTGTGTGATCACTGCTTCTTTCCCTCTCTTTAGCCTCTTTTCTGTACCTTCCTCTGAAAAGCTCTTCTCAAGGCAATATGAGCCAATTTGTTCTTCTGCCACATTCAGACTCTGATCACGTCTTGATTCTAAACCCAAATCTGCTGCTATGTCCCTGTGCTGAGGGGAGTTTTGCTGGATTTTTGCTGAGTTATCATGTTTCATATAGTTCTCTCCTGAAGTTTTGTCTTCAGGACATTTAGGTTTCTCCTTAGTGTGACTACAAGCTTGTGGTTTATCACACCTTGAGAGCTGTCGCTGGTCACAGCTGTCAGTCTTGCCATTAGACCGGGATGTATTTTGCGGTTTATATTGGTTATTCTGTAAATTAAGGTCCTGTAGGGGCTCAATCAAATTTTGTGGCGAGTCATACTCAGCTATGTAGGGCTTTATGTCTAGGACAGGTGTGCCATGAATCATGTCAATTCCAGAAAGATATATAGCTCCACCTATAATGTGAAAAACACATCCTCTTAGTAATCTTAACAATGAAGAACAGTGCAAACAATTAAGAACCAACACCATCTGCCTATGCCTCACCAAGCTTAACTCACAATTCTCTTACACACCAGGCTCTCTTATACCTGGTGCCAACACACCCTTTTCATTCTACCTGGAAACCCATCCTCTTCTTCACCTGTCGAACTTCTACATGCTCTTTAAGGCTCTTCTATAATACCTCTTCTACAGAGCCTTTCTGGCTCTTCCACACATAAGCATTCTTTCCCCTGGGTTCCACAGAGAAACCTATGTACAAACCTCTACTACAGCCCATTTCACATGGTCTGGCAATGACCTAGTTGGTCTTTCTCCCTAGACAGTGAGTAGGCCCTTGAGCACTGACTCATCTTTGCATCACTGGGACTTCTAACTCTGTTCCAGGCACATCAGAGTCCTCAATATATCTCTGTGGAATCAATGAGGATTTCCACTGTGGCAAACAGACACTAAGGTGGCCCCCAGAATGCCCACTTGCTGGTGTTGACACCCTTCGATAATCTCCATCTTTTGAGTATGACATGGTATCACTCCAGTGACTATGTTACCTTATCTGAGACTCCTGTACCTGCAGGCAGATTCACTCGAGAGATTCTCCTTGTGGGCCTGATGAAGTAAGCAACCACACTGGGAAAGCCCATGTGGTAAGGCACTGCAGGAGCCTCTAGGAGCTGAGAGCAGCCACCAGCCAACACCCAGCAAGCAGTTGTGGCTCTCAGTCCCACAACTACAAGGAAGTGAATTCTGCCAACAACCTGAGGGAGGCTGGAAGCAAATTCTTCCACAGTTGAGCTTCCACGTAAGAACTCATCCCAGATGACACCTAATTTGCAGCCTGGTAAGATCCTAAGCAGAGGACTGGCAAAGCTGTTCCCATACTTGTAAACTCATTATTATGAAACATAATAATATTTCAAAAAGATAATAAATGGGTATTTTTTAAACCGATTAAGTAGGGGCGCCTGGGTGGCTCAGTCAGTTAAGTGTCTGCCTTCGGCTCAGGTCATGATCCCAGGGTCCTGGGATCGAGCCCCACATCATCCAGCTCCCTGCTCAGCAGGGAGTCTGCTTCTCCCTCTCCCTTTGCCCCTCCCCTTCCACTAGTGCTCTGTCTCTCACTTTCTCTCAAATAAATAAAATCTTTAAAAATAAATAAATAAATAAACAAACTGATTAAGTGTGTGGTAATTTGTTACACAGCAATGGAAATCTAATACATCCATCAAGACTCAAACAATTAAGCAGAACATAAGTCACCACTGCCAAATATTAAGGACAGGTCTTTTGTCTCACTTATACAGCTGCATGTCCAGTTCCTGCTACTGGTGCAGAGTCTACTAACTTGATTCTTGGGAAATTGGCCAAATGAGAATCAAAAAATTATACGTGATCACATTCTCTGTCTCCATTTTAGAAAACAAGACTAACAAAGGACTCTGATTTCTAAAACATGCTCACTGTGAATGAGCCTGGAACTTTGGAATAATGACTTTGGACTTCCCCTAACTAATGGATATGCCTAACAATGTCTGCAGAAGGAAGTATTGTAGCATATGTAAAAGTTCATGGGATTTAGAGTTATACAACCACCTGGCTGGATGCTATTAGGTAATATTATCAAACATCAAAGAGCCTCAGCTCCCTCATCCATAAAAGGAGGACTGCTACCCTATCAAACCCAAAGAGCCGCTGACAGATAACATACATAAATGCTTTTTATAAACTGTAAAGCACCACACAAACACTAGTAGTCACCATAACACTTATTTGTTAAGAATGTCTATAGTGTTATTGTGTTTGCCTCTTACATTTCTAATCTGTTTACCACTATACCCTCAGCACCTAAAACAATGCCTGGCACATATACAGTGCTCAGAAAATATGTGTGGGTTGCACAAATGATCATAAAATGTTTAGTACTGTTACCCAAGCTGGTTGGCCATCACAAACTGATAAAGCTCAAGTTGGACTGGCTACAGAATTTTCCTGGAAAATCTATCCAAGGCTAGGCTGAATACAACCCAGGGGAGGTAGTTCAAGTTCTGGCAAAAAACAAGCAAAATAACTGGTCTTACCTATTTAGCACTAAGTAACCTGAAAAGTACTCTTAGAGCTTTTGTCTCTTAAGATCCTTAAAATACTATGGAGTCCCAGAGAGGGCAGGTCCTACTCCTTTGTCCACTTTACAAACAAGCAAGCTAAAGCCTGGAATGGTCTCCTGACTCCCAGTCTTCTGTCTCTCCAACAAATGTGCTTATTAGGTCAGAGTGATTCAAGAACAGGATGCCTTACTAACAAACAAAGCAAACAAACCAAAACTTAAAGATACAGAGAACAGATCAGTGGTTGCCAGAGGGAACAGAGTAGGGAGATAGGTGAAATGGGTAAAGGGGTTCAAGAGGTACAAACTCCCAATTATAAAATAAGTCATGGCGATGTAATGTACAACACAGTGACTACAGTCAATAATACTGTACTGTATATTTGAAAGTTGTTGAGAGTAGATCTTGAAAGTTCATACCATAAGAAAAAAAATTTTTAACTATATGGTGACAAATGATATCTAGACTTATTGTGGTGATCATTTCACAATGTATATAAATACTAAACATACTGTACACTTGAAACTAATATGTCAATTATACTTAAAAAAAAAAAAAAAAGAATGGGATGCTTCCAAAGAATGGGACACCTGGGTGGCTCAGTTGGTTAAGTGTCTGCCTTCCTGCCTTCGGCTCAGGTCATGATCCCAGGGCCCTGGGATCAAGTCCCACATCGGGCTCCTTGCTCAGTGAGGAGCCTGCTTCTCCCTCTGCCTGCCGCTCTCTCTGCTTATGCTCTGTCTCTCTCTCTCTCTCAAATAAAAAATAATAATAATAAATAAAATCTTTAAAAAAAAAAAAAGAATGCATGGCTCAGTAAGTAGGCTGTATCTGAATACACAGGTAAAATTAACCTGGTATTCTACACAGGTACTTCCACAATCTGACAGGTGTTTAAATGTTATTATAGTGAGATTCATTGCAGACCCTCCGACACATCAGAGTTAACAACTGTACTACAGCCACAGTGCATGTCCATTTCCTCAAAGGTGCAAGGAAGAAAGAATACAACACCACCCTATGTGTTTACCGTATCTACACATACAACCAGTTACTGTGTGTTAATTCTGAAAGTGTCCAATTATTTTTGAATAATTTTGTATTTATTGTATTCCAAGTCAGAGAAAATTTGGTTACTAATTTAATGATTATGAAATTATACATTATTTTTAAATAATGTAATAGTTTCTAATATATGTGATGATATAATTAAACTCTGAGCATCCTATGAGAGCTGATTTCAAAGGGTAACATTCTTTTAGTCATTTCAGGTTCTTCCATGCCTGGTAGTTCTCAGGGGTTAACACCATTGGTACTCATCTGAATAACAGCCAGTGAATACTATGTTTGTTTTATAAGACTTCTTTTAGATAAGGAAAAAAAAGATAAAAGTAGAAATGAAATTTGTTACCTTCTATCTTTTCCAGCTTGGCCAGAGTCAGTCCTATTGCATTGGGACGATGTGGGCTCCTTGTGGAGAAAACTCCAGTCTTTGCACCATTCAGCCTAGGAGGCTGCACTTTTGCCTTACAGCTCAAATGACCATTTTTGTGAAAGACAAACAAAATCCTATTGAAAATAAACCAAACCACCAAGTAAGAAAACAACACTAGTTAATTTATCATAATGATTTGATGGTGAAAAAAATTTAATCTTTAATCCCACAAATTAAAGCTGAAAGAATGCTTTTAATGGTATTACAATGTAATCAGTGGGGGGAAAAAATGTCATTCTCATTCCTTGAAGGAAGGCAGAGTCTTATCTCTATATCCTTTGCCCCTAACACAATTACTGGCACGTGGTAGGAACTTTACAAATGTTTGTCAAGTGCCTGAATAAGCAGTATTTATGAAGTAAGAGCCTGGGCTGCTATTTGCCAGGCAGTCTACTAGACATTTTTATACTCATTTAACTCTCTTAACAAGCCTAAGATTTGTAATTTATCCCCCAATTTAAGAATGAGGAAATCCAGGCTCAGAAATGTTAAATAACTTGACTGGGTCTTCCTAAGTAAGACATAAAAGCAGGAAGCCATGAAGAGAAACAGTAACAGATTTGAACTCATTAAATCATTAAATTTATGACTACAAAATGTCATCCCAGGAGAAAATGTTTGCTACATGTACAATGGACTGTTCCTACAAATCACAAAGTAAAGGGCAACTCATTATAAGAAATTAAGCAAAGAACATGAATTGACAAAAGAGTAAGAAATAGTAGCAACCAAATGAAAAGATGTTGAACCTCATTAATAATTAAGAAATTTAACTGAAAAATAAAATATTGTTTTTCTCAGGGCACCTGGGTGGCTTAGTTGGTTGAGCATCTGACTCTTGATTTCAGCTCAGATCATGATCTCAGGGTGGTGAGATCAATCCCTGCTTGGGATTCTCTCCCTCTGCCCCTCTCCCCATGTGTGTGCATGCTCACTCTCTCTCTCAAATGAGTAAATAAATAAAATTTTAAAAGTATATTGTTTTTCCGTCCAACAAAAATGCAGAAAAACTTTAACATTTAATGTTAGCAAGAACATAGGAAACAGGTCATTTTCATACACTTATGATATATAAATTAAGCTTTTTAGAGCACCATTTGGCAGTAGCTCTCCAAAATTATAAATACGCACACCCTCTAGCTCAATATAATCATTTCTGATACCTACTTGTAAAAATGTACAAGTGCCAAGAATTGTGTCTAAGAAGGTTTGCTACAGCATTACTGTAATAGCAAAATCCATTAACAAGAGATATACCATGGTCAAATCACGGTCTATCTGTATTTCACAATAAGAGACAGTCATTAAAGCAAAAAAGATAAATCTGTATGTACTGTCATGATATACACTGTTAAATGAAGAAAACATATTCCATTGTTTAAAACAAACACCTAATCCCAATGTGTATGTTTATGCTTCTCTATTAAAAAAGAAAAAGAAAAGGCAAGGTAGGATATACACCAAGCTATTAACAATAAAAATCTCTGAAGAGTGTTGGCGGTGAGAATGAGTGAGAAGAAAAACAGGAAGGATACAAAAATCTCTTTATATAGATCTGGACCCATTTTTTTTATATCAGCCATGTTTTTAATTTAATTAATTTAACCAAGATCATACAAACTAGGTCAGACACATGTTGTTTCTACTCTACCCACATCTCCAAATTAACAAAAACATAAGCTATTTCAGAATAAATACTTAATTTTAGGTCTTCACCAGTAAAATTAGACCAAGTCATACTGGTGATGCTGGAGTGAGGAAAAATGGACAGAGACAGAATTGCAAGTGACAGTAACACTAATATAACACAGGTACTAATATCGGTAACACTTTATTGAGAGTATCCAGATTTCTAAAGTCTCTTTTGTCTCTTAGGAAGAAAAAACTTAATTGTTCATGGGTCTAGAGCAGAGTCTGCAAACTTTTTCTGTAAAGGGTCACACAGTAAATATTTGAGGGTTTGCAGGCCAACCAGTCTCTGTTGTAACTACTCAACTCTGCCACTGTACCACAAAAGCAGCCATACACAATACATAGATGAATGGGAGTGGCTGTGTTCCCATAAACTTATTTACAAAGATGGGAGGTAGATGGATTTGGTCCACGGGCTGTAGCTTCCTGAACCCTGGTCCAGAAGGTAGAATAATGACCCACAGGCAGAATCGAGATCTACAGATTTCAGCTCAATAGAAAGCATTCCTCACAATCAGAACCAACTGCAAATGGGGCGCCTGGGTGGCTCAGTCATTAAGCGTCTGTCTTTGGCTCAGGTCATGATCCCAGG